TGATTGAAGTACCCTCGAGACGTGAGGCAATCCCCAGCCTGGGTCTGGCAATTCATCGCCGCGGGCAACAAACAAAAAACATGCGACACAGACAGCACGAGAGAGGGAGAGGCGGAGGCAGCGGCGGCCAGCGGGCTGTTGGCCCGAGGCGGCACGGGCCGCCGGCGCGAGCGGAGGCTCCGGTCGGAGCCGCCAGCAGGCGGGCAGAGAAGACAGCGAGGCGAGCGAGAGGCGGTGGCGGCCGAGGCTGGCGGGCTGCACCCCGCGCGGCCGCGGCCGCCGCCAGCGGGTGGCCCTGGCATGGGCCACCAGCAGGCGGGCAGAGGAACGACGCGCGGCCTGGGCGTAGCAGGGCATCGGCTGGCGCCGGCCCCGGGCACCTCACGCACGCACGCACGCACGCACGCGCAAACACACACATGACTCCACACGCGTGGGGTACTGCGCGCATGGGAGGGAGAGAGGGCGCTCTCATCTTTCCGGCCCGCAGCGACAAGAGGCTCGTCGCGGTCGAAGCTACGGCGGGCTGCGTGATAGCGAACTGCGCCCGTACGAACGGAAATGAGGCCCACAAGCGCCGCCGCAAGCAAGACACCGACAGCGCCGCTGCATTGTGCGGAAGGACGTGGGGGCAAACTCTGGGAGGGAGCGCCCTGGAATCCAAAGCCCAGGTCATCCCCTCTCCCTCGTGCTCCTCCTTCTCCCTCTTCCTCCTTGACCTCCTCACCTCTCCCTCTCCCCCCCCATCCTCCATGTCCTCCATGTCCTCCTCGTCATCCTCATCGTCGTCCTCCTCCTCCTCGTCATCATCATCATCATCATCATCATCATCATCATCATCATCATCATCATCATCATCATCATCATCAGCATCAGCATCATCATCATCATCATCATCATCATCATCATCATCATCATCATCCTCATCCTCATCCTCATCCTCATCCTCATCCTCATCCTCATCCTCATCCTCATCCTCATCCTCATCCTCATCACCATCCCTCCTCATCAACCTTTTTTTTCCAGCGAATAAATAGCTCCTACCTGTTGTTCCACCAGACGTGTCCGTAGGCGGGGCCAGGCGTTTCACTGGATACTGGCTTACAAATGACTGTTCCGAAGCTGATGATTTCCAGCAGCTACACGAACGGAGGGGATCCTCATCAAAATGATGCTGTCGCCGTAGCGACGCATGCATCCATCTTAAAAACTTGCACGGGTGCCATGACCTCTTCAAATGGGCCTCTCGCCCCGCGCCGCGACATTCGTCTCAAGAGCGCGCAACGGCTTCACGGTTGGATGGGGTCCTTTTCAGCATGGGGCTCTCACCTGAGACCTCCGCAGAGATCACGGGCGCAAGCGTATGCAACAACTGCACGACTGGAGGGCGGCTCCTGCTCAGAATGTGCTTCTCATCTGGAACTCCCCCAAACCTTGCGACCCGACAGTGAGCCGGAGGTAGCCCTGCACGGACGGAGGGCGGTCTCTTTTCCCACGTCCCTGAAACCCACGGTCCGAGTGCAACCATGGCGCAACGGTGGCAGGGATCGGGGGCGGTTCCTGCAAGAGACTGGGCTCTCGCTGGACACCTCGCTGAGCTCGATGATCCTACCTGCCATCGCTCGGACGTCCATTCCCCGTGTTTTTTTCGGTTTCGTGCGTGGCTTTTTCGCCAAATGATCAAGGATGCTCCTCGACGGTCCTCGACGAAGGAAAAATGCACACGTCCGAGCGATGCCAAGCCTACCTCGTCGCGTTCCTTCCTCAATCCGAGCGAATGCACGAACGACCCCCCGCTGCGGACACCGTCTGGGCTGTAGCTTAGACCAGCTGGGCGAGGCCTTGGCCTCAGGAATCTGGTGTGCCCGAAACACATGCAGTGCGAGACACAGGAGGGGCCCGACCACGAGAGATCTTCCACAAGAAACCCAACCCTGAGACCCCAGGACGTCCACTGCTTTTTGGTGTGGGAGCGTCACGCTTTCCACAGCAGAACCATCGAAACCCAAGAGCCCCAGGGCACCCTGGAGGCAAGCCTTGTGGATGCCACGACAATGGACACCCTAACAGCCCTATCATTAAACTTAACATGTGTTTCAAATGTCGGAACAACGTTCTAACTATGTTTTAAACCTGTTTTTGCGTGTTGCAAACATGTTTAACACATGTTTCAGACATCTGGAACTTATTTGGCAACACGCTTCCTTTCCATTGATTCGGGTGTTGCTAGAAGTACCCCTGGCCCAAGGTACCCCATGGTACCCCTGGGATCCTCGGGGTGGCCCAGACGGCCTCCAGGGCACCCCTCACGAGGCCCAGAGGGCCCCAGGGACTCCAGAATGGAGCGAAAAGCTGGTAGCAACACCCGATTGATCCCCTCCCTCTCACCTCCCCCCCATGGGCGCGCAGCCGAATGTGGTTTTGGGGTCGTAACTTGCGTCTCGGGTGGCCGTTCGGGACTAGCCCGGCACCCCCTGAACGCCCTCGCCGAGGAGCACCC